CAAAATGTTTATAAGGTTGATGATATACTTACTTGTAATCAGCAAAGGAATATGTGAAAACGAAAAGTAGAAAACGAAGTTTTCTTGCTCTATAGATATACATTCACGTATCTTACGAGTCTACTTATTCATTGACCATGTTTGTGCATTTATCACTGAGAATGGTAAAAGGCTAACGAGGATTTGGTTCCTGAAAAGCAGATTTGATTCAAAATGAATACAATAAAGCCAACTCGAAACTTGATCAATCTTTACTTGTAGGCGAATAATTTTAACTTGCAAAGCCAGGAACACGCAATGGTTGCAATTAATGGTGCTTGTGATGATCAGGGATTACCTATGGGCTAGCAATTGTGGTTTTCTTCCGTTTCTAGTTATTGTTCCGTTGAAGGAAATTACTTGCAAAAGTTGAGTTAACCGTGAGATAGCAAGTACTATTTAACTACAAACATTCAGGACCGCAATGCCCACCAGAAAAACTGCACATAAGTCAGTGATCCGTTTGTCCTCTTCGGCTGTTTTTCTCGTTAGCCAGTAGGTTTCATATCATAAATCTGACCCTTACTTCCATCGTGGTACTGAATATGATCCGAGTAAAAGGATTTTCAGTCTCTTCTAGGATGATGTTGCTAGGTGACGACTGTATACACTCGACCTTGAAACGTTCCGCGGTCTCAGCGGTTTAACAGTAGATAAATGGTATAATCTTTCTGTCAGAAGCTAGCGAACCTTGGCTGAAGCACGGCAAGTTGTATCATTGTACCAGTTACACAATTTTCTGGAACAAATTTTGTTAACATTGTTGTGTTATCAGTGAATCATATGATTTTTTCAAATTTGCCACTATTGGGTGTTCACTGATATGTGAAAAATTTTCAAGTTGGTTCATTCTAACGACAACAAAATGGCTGCTTCCAACTCCTTTGATGATCTAGGTTGCAATTAGTCAGTTTGTTTTAGTATAAACATGTGTCTTGGAAAACGAATATTTCACTGGAAACTGCGATTCGAAGTTAGCCTAAAGAACGTCTATGAAAATAATCGACTTACTGGTAGTTTGGGCAGAACCACTGCGATAAAGCCTAAACACAAGGTCCGAATGTTTCACATCACTTATCTCAATGAGATCTGTTCGTCATACTCCACGTTAAATTTATGACACGTCTCAACGGGTAGACTCTGGCCAGAATTTCACTTCAGTTGAACACTGTTGCTGTTGTTGAATACAACATGTGAGCGATCGGTACTTCTGGTCAGACATGATTTGAGCTGTTTGGCACCATGGTAAGGTGCACTCTCCATGCGAGGAGTCCAGAGGTCAAGTCACGAATGAGTGCCTGGATACGCGCTGTTAATTTACTCTAATGGGAAAACTCTAATCAATTCTTCCTCAGTGTACGCTTAAATGCATAAAGACAGTGTGAATGATATACAAACGGATTCACCGTCAAACCCAACTATCTGCTTTTTGCCCACCGACAGATCAAAGAAAAGCTGGATACTACTTTTTTGAACTGCGAGTTTTTTTACTTTGCAAGACAGTATGGATACTTTAAGCTGCTAGCAGCACCACAATTCACCCAACTCTTTCCATTAGGGAAATCCTACTTACCTCTTTGGCATCATTGATTGGTGCAACAGGCCCTGCTTGTGAGTTGGTAAATGACTGCTTTTCACTTGGTTACAATCAAACTGCAATACTCTACATGCCCTATCCGATGTTTCTAAAAATCGAAGCCGACTGTCGTGCGCGAAATGAATCAATGTTAATCTGTCATGGCCAGGAAGCCGCTTCGATCGTGTCTTGGTGTTGTTGACCGCAACCAGACCATTCAAAAAGCCCGAAACGATTATATTCAGAGGAGGAGATGACGACTCCAGTGCGATAGTTGGGTTAGCTACTGATAATATGAAAGTGAGCTTGTACACGGATTAATACATAAGTTGGCATCAAGAAAATCGATGGCTCACTTAGAATAAATCCTTTGGATCGTTGTGTGATCTATTCGAATAGTTGTCATCCAATCAGGCCATGTATAGTATATTGTACGAAACACACTTTCACTGGCTGTCATGCCCACCCGCAATGCATCCGCTGATCATTTGGACGTTCCGTTCTAAAGCAAACACTAACACGTGTGTCATACATCGGATGTCACATTACTTTGTGTGGTAGCGGAATTCACAATTGTTCGGTAAAAGTGGCAATCAATCGGTTTGGAGCATGGGAAGTAATCCGCCGCGTTAATCACTCGGGGATCAGGCTAGAATTGTCTGTGAGCGCGTAAAGGAAGAAGTCGGCAACAAGTTCACATTGAATCTCTGAGTGACTAATCAACTGCATCACATCTGCCTTTCTCCCATTTTATATATATATTTATCACCGGCTTGTAGACAAGCATGGTGCTAACGCAACAACAATAATTACAATAACAATGAAAGGGGACAGGTGAATTGGAGTACAGAACAGGGTGAAAAGTGGGTGAAACAGTTAAACACGGGAAAATGGAAGATTACTGGAATAACAAAAAAAAATTGTGTGTTTCACCGTACACCTTTTGATATTTTTTGTGTTCTTTGTTTCCGGTATACAGATACGGCACCACAAACCTGTTGCAAATATTGACATTGAAAAATTTCTGTTTAGTCAACACTTCCTTATTGTTTCATGTGGGCAATGGAGGATTCCTTATTGTGTTTCGTCTTCCGTCCTGGAGCTTAGATATCATTCATGGTCTTTGACTAGGTTTGGCTAAAGTTGGTCATCAAACAACTCAATTTGTTTTCTTTTTTGAGATGATTATTAAGTGCCAACTGACACTAATAAGAGTGAGCACTTCCCGATAAAGGATGTATGACTTCTTTGGTGTACATCACTTCAATTGAAAAATATTTAGTTTGTCGAAACCCCCGCGTTCTAAGTTTGCAGATGAATGTACTGAACCGGTAGGTTTGACCGCTGATGAGTTAAACTCTACGAAATTATTTCTCTGAATGTACATATGTGAACTATTATTATGAATTATTATCCATTTGACTTGACGATATCATTATATGTTGGAAACAGGATTAGTATTGAGTTGGAATTTGACCGAGTGTCATTTGTGTGCCACAGATAACCCCGGATCGAAAGGATCGTGATAAAAACGAGAGTGGTCGTCAAAGTCGTATAGGCCCGGACCGTCAGAGCCGTGTAAACAGTCGCTGTGAATCGATCGGAAAGGAGAAAATTCACGACGACGATACAGCGAAACCAGTATCCGGTTTGTCTGAATCACCTGTGCAGCCTGCCAAGCTGGTTCGTCCACCATCCGCGAAAGGAAATCGCGTACGAAAAGAAGGTATACTCATTTGAAGGAGATAGAAGAGCTTACAGTTCGTGATGTAAATATGTGCTTGGGTAGCTACTGCAAGAGATAACCTTAAAAATGTCTTATCCTCACACAGGAGAGAATGTCATGAAAATAATGTAAAATTATAAAATCTATCCGTGTGTTGACGTAGTTGGCTGCCGTCTGTGCGCATATTGTATTCTATCGTATAGTTGTATTGATCGTAAAGCAAAGTCAAACGGCACCACGCATCCACCGCACTACACATTCTAGACGACTAACTTTGACATCAGTAGCCAAACCAATCTGGTGAACTATAGTACATGCAATTTGATCAGCCGAATACAGGAAAGCTTAACAGCCGGGCCACGCCTACAAGGAATGAACTAATGCGCAATGGATACTTGTGAAGGTTGTTAGCATCCGTTTCCAAATAGAATTAACTTTGGTAAACCAGCTCTTGTTCAGTATTTCATTATCGTACCAACGCAATAAAATTATTAAAAGCTTGAATTTACAGCCGCTTTCAGTGACTGGCTGTAAATTCCACCTTCCTCGCAGCAAAACTTAGACCAGTATTCTCTACATCGCCCGTGATGAGAATGCAAGTGAAAGACAAACTGTCGAAACTGACCTCATCCATGATAATCTACTTTTTTANGGCGCATGTTACATAGGTCGTACGGTAAAGCGTTTGTCTCAACGTGTTAAGGAGCACCACCCGCGATGGTTGAGTCAGGGAAAAACCGGCTGTATCTCAAGCGCCATTGTGAGGCATCTCGTCGACACTGGCCACAAGATCGATCCGGAGAAAGCTTTTGATGTGGTTTATCGCATCCCAATCAATCGCTCAAGGGCGGCCCGAGTTTGGACACTAGCTATGGCCGAGGCGATCGCCATTCGCTTACTAGGCCCCAACCTGTGTGCCCAAAGGCGATTGGTGCAGGCGCTCCAATTGCCTTGGCCGTGTGTGAAAACCAAGACAGAACATAACGTGTCACTTGACCCAAGTGGGGAAAGGTCACATCAACTAACACGTTAAACATTCCTACACACACACACACACACACACACACACACACACACACACACATACACATACACACTCCCATTACTCTCCACCACCGAATATTGACTTTAAAATGAGCCAATGGCTATGATTATGTAAGAATTTTTCCACCATATGATATGTAAGAGCATGACTAGGAATATCCGAAAACAATTACTCGCTCACCGACTCGTTTTCTCAATAAAATTATTATGACTAACTACAGGAGTTGATTTACAAGGGAACCGGAGGCTCGTTTACTTGTTCAAACCTTGGAGTTATAATGTCGATCACATGTCTGGTCGTTTCACCGCTTGTTGACGCTAACCACACCATAAACGTGACTGAGGTGTCCGGAAACGTGCACTGAGTTAAAACGGAAAGATCAAGGTATTTGCAGTTTTTTATTCTAGCCATACCGAGAGCAAACACAAACCCCTTCTGCGTGCAAGCAGTACAGCTCCCGTAGCCTGACTGCCAGCAAGTGACCGGTTCTGAAGCACCCGAACAAATGTTGATTGATAGTTAATGGAACCGACGTTCCAAATGAAGACTAATCATAATTCAAGGTTTTGAATACCCATGGTACTTGTGATAATCCAGTCATCCGAAGTAATGCCAAACAAAGAGCAGTTCCAGCACAACGAATCACAGGCCAATAGTATTGACCAATCAGAAGTGATGCGGTTCAAACAAAAGCTCGGTGACGAAGAGAACACAATCAGGCGATTGGTTAAGTTCTCTTTAGAAAAAAATGCTCATATTATTTCATCCCGTTGATTTCTAACATTAAACGAACCGCTACTTCTGTGGCCTTCTTTCTGCGTTTCTTTGATGGAGCATTTCGGAGATCGCTATTAGCACGATTCCGTGCTTTGCTGGTAATTCGTGATTTGATTGCAATTCGTGATTCGTGTCTATGCTGAAAAAAACGATAAACTGACACAAAAATTTTAAAATATGTTCGATGAGACAAAAAATTATTGTCCCATTTAGTTGCAATTTTCCATTTTAACAGTGTCGGCTTTTTACTATGTTCTGTATCCCAGAACCTCATACAGCTATTGCTATTATTTTTGTGCTGTTGGCACCATGCTAGGCCGCAAGTCGGTGTTAAACATATATATATATATATATACATTGAACATAACGGTACTTTCGGATTTCTTCGTAAAATTGTGTTCATAATTAGTCTTATGTATTGTGTTATATTGTCATAGTTCTGAAACATTCAGAACGACTCTATTTACCATTTTTCGCTCTCATCATGAGCATTTTAGTACTGTTTAAATATAATAAACCCAAAACACAGCTCAGCTTTCTTGTAATCGGCTCAGTGGCATACAATCGGAGATCACATTATTTGAGTTCGAGTACAGTTCCCAATAGCACAATCAGGCTCGAGTCTCCGAATTTACATCGAATTTCATCCCGAAAATGAACTGTGTAGAACTTTGGTGTGATCTGTAGCAGAACAGAAAATAAGAACAGTTCATATTATTTCTCTGTGTTGGCAGAGATAATACTCAGTTATTGCTGAAGCCTCTCTCTTCTTTGTGACAATCCGACCAAACTCCTACCACAAACACCGAAACAATTACAACTCACCCACATGTTGACTGTTGATTCCGGAGTGACAGAGAGAACCACATGGAAATCTTCAGTTTTACTTGACAATATTTCAGTTTTTATACGATTCCGATCATCGTAATAGTTCATACCAATGCACAGACATTAATGTCTGAGTAATCTTTGTTATGATGCGATTAGCACACATTGGTTATACAAGAAATTGTCTTGAGGAATTGAAGTCCTTATGCGTGTTGGCCGTCCACTGTGTAGCTCAGAAATCAGAGTTTCAACTGCCAACTCGAGGAGGGGACTCGCGGTTCCAGACCCGTGAAGGATTCAAAATATTACGCACCCCTGATAAAACCCGATATGCACGAATTTCCATCGCAATTGAGGTAGCTTTATAAATACGCCAGGATTGAAAAGAAAAGCCAGTAAAGCAACATTGCATGATTTATATCAACAGCTGCAGAACGAAGCGTTGGTGCTTATTCGTCGTATCCGCGTATGCATCGACCGATTGCAGTTCACCAGAAATAAAG